ATTCCATGTATTAGGTGTTAGTTGATACCTTTCTCGTCTCCTTTCCAGAGAATACATTTTGAGAGCTTTGAGATGGTCCCAGTAATTTAAATGTTTTATCATTACTGTGCATGCCATATTGTGTGTTCCTGTATTTCAGAAATTTCTCCTGCCCTGATAAAGTGAGAAGCTAGTGGTACTCAAGACGGGACAGCAGCAGTTATTTAAATAGTATTAGCATTGTTATGGGATATCTCTATTGGAACGTTCTCATAATCCATCCTGTCATTTTTCTGGCTGCCGCAATATTTGCTTGATTATGTTTACTAAGTGTCAAGTCGTCAGACATCATACTTCCCAGATCTTTTAATTGTTGCTTTCCTTGTATGAGTAAGACTTCTATGAGTATTTCGTTGAAATTCCTCGTACAGTACCAGGAATTTATCACCGTTAAACATCATGTTATTTTACTTTGCCCAATTGAAGAATATCGGTTTGAAATTTTTCAGCGTCTTCTACAGAGGCAATTTTAATGCTGATGTATCATCTGCAAAGGATGACGCAAAGCTGTGACCAGTATTTTTTTCTATATCTGAATAAGAATGAGAAATAGCAGTGGTACAAGGATTGTGTCCTGGGGTACAGAGCTTTTCACTGCACTTGAACTTGATCTTATTTAGCTGACTGTTACTCTTTGTATTCTGTTTGACAAAGTTGAGAATCCAACACCCCCCACTTAACCCATTATTCCTATTGATCTCATTTTAAGGGCTATCACTCCACGGGTTACACTTTTCAAATACCTTTGCAAAGTCTGTGTATACAACATCTGCATTTTGTTTTTCTTCTAATGTTTTTGTCATAGTGGTTGAGTAACTGTGACAGACAGGATCTTCATGCTCTAAAGCCATGTTGTCCTGGGTTGTGACGTTCATTGTTTTCCATAAAACTGGAGATTTGATTGCCAATTATTCTATCAAAAACTTGGGTGTGTGATGTTAGTGCAAGTGATCTAATTTTTAGCCAAAGCTTTTACTACCTCCCTTGTGTAGTGAAGCTATTTCTGCTATTTAAGTGCTGCTGGTATGTCCCCTGTATCCAGGCTCTTTCTACATATTACACTGAGCACTTGCACCACTGGTACATTGCATTTCTTTATGAATATTGAATTCCACGAGTTGGACTTTGGTCTGAGTGCATGTTGTCAGTTTCTCTTTCAAAGTCTCCTATGTTCATGTTAACACTTTCGCTCACCCCGCGCGCCACCCCTCAACTGTGCGATATGGGCCCCAGGGAGTCACGGGAGCGTGCGTTAATTCCGAAAAGTGTATACTCTCCAACTTTGTCACCTCAATTCTCCTTCTACGAGATTAAATTTGGTATCATTGTGTTCGCAATAAAATTCTCTACAGCACTAAATGCATATAAACTCCAAAAGCCCGGCTAATTACCCGCAGCAAACAGAGAAAGTGCGAACGAGTTACCCGGGAGCGCGCAAACGGGATAAAATGTTTTCACTATTTTCATTCTGGTCACCTCAATTTTTGTCCTATGTCTTTCATTTTGGTCTCAATGGGTTCGTAATAAAATTCTCTAGAGAAACATTAGCATATAAAATAAAAAACCTGGTCACGCTCCAACCTCCGACGAGTTGAAGACGGGCCACGCGTTAGCCGTGAGTGAGCGCTCAGACGCCTTCCTGCTACACTTCCAATTCCCGCCCCTTTTCAAGCCTTTCTTTCACAATTTTCTTCCTGGAAGGGCCTTGTTCATGATTACTATCCATCGTGGAGTAAGCGTAGATAGTTTTTAAAGCCGCAGTAAGAAATATAGCCACGGAAAATAGCCGAAATGTTCACACGTTTGAGATGCGAGGGGAGGCGACATTGGTCACAACAGTGGAGCAAAGACAATGGGCCCACGGCGTGTGCCAAGCCGCCTGAGGGCCACGAGGCTCAACAAAGAAAATGGGAAGACATCGGCGCACATTTTAAAACCAGTCCCCCAAAAATCGGAAAAAAACCCCTGATTTTTGGCGATTATTTAAAGTGGATGACGCAATGCTGCGTCATCCCCGGTATTACCGCCAGTAAACGGATGACGCAATTCTGCGTCATCTCCGGGCGAAAGTGTTAATATCAGTTACATTATGTGGAGTTTGGATGTCATTCATGAAGGTGTCGGGAGCTTCAACTTTATAAATGTTGTTGATTGGGGTGTTAAACATAGCCTCAGACTTTCCTTTTAGGATTTTGGCAATCTCTTTGACATCCTCTTTGTATGAACCTTCAGTTGTAAAGAAAGGTCCAATTTTGGTGAAGGTTTTTGTGTTGATGATATTACCTTTCAACTGGATATATCTAGTTGAAAACTAGATAGTTTATTTATACCTAATTTACCTAATTCATCTAAATAAACCTACAAAACTGTGTTCCAGTTATTACTTACCTTGCTGTCGAGTGCTGTAGGCGTATGGAAGATGGTGAGGAGGGGGGAGGAGGAGAGGAGTTACTGTTTGGAAGGGGAGTCCCCTTCCATAATCACATCACATAACCCCATGCCTTGTAACACTATGGATACCACTTCTCTTTCTAAATTTTTCAAACCAGCCCCTGCTTGCCTTAAACTCTTTCTTATCTGCATCACTCGTTGCAGGGGTATTCTTTAGAAGGTCTTCGTGCAACACCCTGGCTTTCTCACAAATAATTGCCTCCGAAACACTATCACCCCTCAACTCCTTGTCGTGTATCCAAATTAATAACAACTTTTCCACTTCTTCAAGTATTTGTGGTCTTTGTGCCGTTAATGTTCTTACTCCTTTTGCCACTTTAGCACCCATAATCTTATTTTTCTTCTTAAGTATAGTGCATATTGTTGATGTGGCTTTGTTGTACTGCCTACAAAGTTCAACAACACGTGTACCGTTCTCATGCTTCCGAATGATCTCTTGTTTCTCCTCTATTGTCATCCTCACAGGAGCTTTCTGGCCTTTATCCTTACCACTGGCTTTCTTGGGACCCATGGTGAGATATATAATAACAAATTGTATAGACAAATCACCAAAAATCCAACAAAACACTGAAAATCCGCGAGAAGAATTGATGTGGGGGTAGTCACCGAGCGCCAGACAATAATAAACTGAGGGGCGGAGGGGCGACGAACGCGCTAGGTCGGCTGTACGCGTATCAACAAACTCGCGTCCAAACTCGCCTCCCGAAGTAACCCTCGCCTTCTGAGACAAATTTTTGGAGTAAATACACCTCGCCTTCCGAAAACCTCGCATACAGGGACAATCGCATTCCGAGGTACCACTGTAGTTTACTTCAAAAAGTGCCAGACCAGCTGGGCTGTGGGTGGATATATGGGCTTCTGGGCCACTCCAAGCAGCAGCCTGTTGGATCAAGCTCTCACAAGTCAGATAACAGGCCAAGCTCTCACAAGTCAGATAACAGGCCAAGCTCTCACAAGTCAGATAACAGGCCAAGCTCTCACAAGTCAGATAACAGGCCAAGCTCTCACAAGTCAGATAACAGGCCAAGCTCTCACAAGTCAGATAACAGGTCAAGCTCTCACAAGTCAAGCTTGGCTTTGGGCTAGGCTTGTGGAGAACAACTCCAAGAACCCCATCAAGCAGGTATCAAGCAGATATGTATCCCGGCAGAATACCGGTATCAGGTGGCAGAGGGGAACAGCATAATGCTCTATATTCACCCACTTACATATACAGTATTGGTTCAAATTTGTGTGTTGCATCTGAAGACATGTCATTTTAATGATAAATGTCTCCTTGCTCCACATACATTGGTGTAGAGAAGTAGTCACATAAACATGGCTGAAACAAATAACCGAATCCTTATGTATGAAATAAGTGCCAACATTTTGGTCTGTGTTGAACTACAGGGGTACCTCTGTTTAAGAGTTTAATCCGTTCCTGGAGACGGCTCGTAACCCAAAAACTCGTAAACCGAAGCCAATTTCCCCATAAGAAATAATGGGAAATGAATTAATCCGTTCCTGACTACCCAAAAACTTTACTTCAAACTAAATTTTATACCTAATTCATCTAAATCTACACTACAAAACTCTCCAAGTTATTACTTACCCTTGCTGATGACTGCTGTTGGCGTATGGAAGATGGTGAGGAGGAGGTGCCCCTCGTAACCAGGGGCACTCGTAAGCCGAGGTACCACTGTATTGTCTAATCATAATTGAGTGAGGGTGAGATGGAATCAGTATTAGGGAAGAGTCAAGATAGGGACATAGTGCAGCCCATCCTCGCTTACAAAGATTGAAGCTCGTTAATTCAGCTGCCAAACCCCCTTTTTATGAAAGAAAAGTAGTTTACACGCGACTCGCAACTGATGACATCCAAACACTTCCTGAACAAGTGCTTCGCTCTGTTCGAACCACAATTCTATAAATGATTCACCCATGTACTTCAAATACAAATAATTGCCAACAGAACCCAAACACCTGACCTAACCTATACCTAACTATACATACAATTTTTATGTATAATAATATTAATATATATATGAAAATACACCAATTTTAAATACTGTTAAAATTGATGAATGCACCTGGGGAGGACGGCTGCTGCATTAAACAGCCTGGTGTGAGGACGGGTTGGATGGTGAGGGTAAGTGGAGACGTACTGCATGAAAACCTAGATAACGTTTGAATTTGGGTCACTGCAGAAGGCTTAGGTGTGATTCTGTAACTGTGTTATTATGTTGAATTTGAAGACCGGTAACCTTCTTTAAGGGCTGTATATTGGCTATGTTGATGCATGCCATGATACATTGAGATGGGAAAGATCATGGACTCATCACACAACTAGGGGCTTCGAAAAAACACAAATTATTATTATTATTATTTGACATGTTGATGTCTGTTGCTTTTCAGGTGCGATGTATGAAAATGCCTTGCTACTGGTATTTGTATTCCTGGATATTGACCATCATATAATTGGTGTTGTATACTTTAGTAATTATTTAAATCTTTCATACTGTCATCAACAGGAATTTGCTATGGGATGCAGCTTATTAACAAGGAGTTTGGTGGAACAGTATTAAGAAAAGCTACAAGAGAAGATGGCCAGTATACAGTCGAAGTTGATAATTTTTGTCATATATTCAAGTAAGTTGTTTTGATGTTTGCTACTATAGTTTGGCATTGAAAACTTATAGTTAATGTGTTGGAAAATTTAGTGTGGTAGTTTATGGGGAAGGAAATGTTACGGATAATGGGTAACATTGTTTACACTTGTCTTGTCAATTACTTGCATCAGTGCCAGTAGTTGTCCTTATTCACTCCTCACACTTGAAGCATGAGACCACCACCTTCCCGACAACCATCTTTATTTCTTAAGGCAAACTCTGCATTTTGTTAATGGTACGGGAGCGGCTGTGGATGATTGCTGGTGTGTGTGGTGCTGTTGTACTCACCTAATTGTGCTTGCGGGGGTTGAGCTTTGTCTCTTTGGTCCCGCCTCTTGACTTTCAATCAACTGGTGTACAGATTCCTGAGCCTACCGGGCTCTTATCATATCTACATTTGAAACTGTGTATGGAGTCAGCCTCCACTACATCACTGCCTAGTGCATTCCATTTATTAACTACTGACACTGAAAAAATTCTTTCTAACATCTCTGTGGCTCATCTGGGTACTAAGTTTCCACCTGTGTCCCCTTGTTCGTGTCCCACCCGTGCTGAAGAGTTTGTCTTTGTCCACCCTGTCAATTCCCCTGAGAATTTTGTAGGTGCTTATCATGTCTCCCCTTACTCTTCTGTTTTCCAGGGACGTGAGGTTCAACTCCTTTAGTCTTTCCTCGTAGCTCATACCTCTCGGTTCCGGGACAAGCCTGGTGGCATAACGCTGAATCTTCTCTAACTTTGTCTTGTTTCCAGGATTAGTCTTACATAAGTGGTATAGAGGGTCCTGAACTATTCCTTACACAAGTTTCAAAAGGCAGTTCTTATGTTGGCCAGTCTAGCATATGCCGCTGATGATATTCTTTTGATGTGGGCCTGTGGGGACAGGTTCGGTGTGATATCAACCCCCAGATCTTTCTCTCTATTTGACTCTTGCAAGATTTCACCTCCCAGATGGTACCTTGTGTTCAGCCTCCTGCTCCCTTTGCCTAATTTCATTACCTTACACTTTCCTGAGTTGAACTTTAGCAGCCATTTTCTAGACCATTCCTCCAGTTTATCCAGGTCATCCTGTAGTCTCTGTCTATCTTCATCCGTCTTGATTCTTCTCATAATTTTTGCATCATCAGCAAACATTGAGAGGAACGAATCTATACCCTCCAGAAGATCGTTTACATATATTAGAAACAGGATGGGTCCAAGTACTGGCCCCTGTGGGACTCCGCTGGTGACATCTCTCCACTCTGATGTCTCCCCCCTCACCGTTACTCGCTGTTTCCTGTTGCTTAACACTTTCGCGCTTTAGATTAGAGATAACTCGTCGCCGTTTTTTCTTACAATTCCGCATAACTGCCTACTTTTCTCGTCCATCGAAAAAATATTTCTATAAATTCCATTTTTTAACCGAAATGGATGGGGATACTTTTGTTTTGTAGAGAATTTATTTGCGAATTTTTTGGTACCAGAATGAATATTATATCACAAACTTCTATGATTAAAAAAAAAAAATACACAAAGTATGTTTGGGGGGTGTGGCGAGCGTGTGGCAGTGGGTTCCCTTTAGCCGTTGATATATCCAACACGTGGGAAATATTTGTATGTGTTATGTATATGTCTGTGTAGGGAATTTTACTGCGATCACTGTCATACAAATTATAAAATGTTTCAACAAGTATAAACATGACAAACATCAAACGAACGAAAACAATGCGTTCGTTTCTGCCGCGAACGCATACTGAGCGACGTGGTTCTATATTTGGCGCTTCTCTTACACATGCTTTGTACAAATGTTATACAGTTCATCTTATAGAAAATTTTGTTGCGAACACATTGGTATAAAAAAGAAATACGTACATAGAAAAGTAGGGTCAGGAAACGTATAAACTTTCCAAGCATGATTTCCCCCCTGTGTTTTCGCCAGTGCGCTCGCGGCTAACTACTCTCCTCTTCACACACTCTTGCGGGTGGGCAATTACCTATATTAAACATTCATATGCATATGTCCGTGTAGAGAATTGTATTGCGATTCCAATGATACCAAAATTAGTGATGTAGGACAACTGTAGGCTTCGCAACCATTAAGAGAGTGGAAACATTTTGTTGCTGTTTGGCGCTCTCGGCGAGTGATCTGCATAGTTTTTTATTTGGTGTTGATACTCCTTATGCTTGGGCGGCATTTTATAGGTATGCTCTTATAGACAATTTCATTGCGAACACAGTGATACCAAATTTAAATACGTGCACCTTCAATTATTGTCAGGACAGTCAAAAGAGTGTACACTTTTTCGGTCTTACCGCGTAGGCGCGCGAAGTGCCGAAAGCATCTGGGGTATTGTTTTTTTTTGAGCGCCGAGAGCGCGAAAGTGTTAAGTACTCCCTTATCCACTGGAGCACCTTCCCTTTTACTTCTGCCTGTTGCTCCAACTTTTTTTAACAGCCTTTTATGGGGTACTGTCAAAGGCTTTCTGGTAATCCAGGTAATCCAGTCGGCCCACCCTTCTCTTTCCTGCCTCTCGCCTTTGCTGGTGTGTAGCTGGTGCTGCTGTGGATTTTTGCTGGTGTGTGGATGGTTGCTGATGTGTGGCTGATGCTGCTGTGGATTTTTGCTGGTGTGTGGATGGTTGCTGGTGTGTGGATGGTTGCTGATGTGTGGCTGATGCTGCTGTGGATGGTTGCTGGTGTGGCTGGTGCTGCTGTGGATGGTTGTTGGTGTGTGGCTGGTGCTGCTGTGGATGGTTGCTGGTGTGTGGCTGGTGCTGCTGTGGATGGTTGGTGGTGTGTGGCTGGTGCTGCTGTGGATGGTTGTTGGTGTGTGGCTGGTGCTGCTGTGGATGGTTGTTGGTGTGTGGCTGGTGCTGCTGTGGATGGTTGTTGGTGTGTGGCTGGTGCTGCTGTGGATGGTTGCTGGTGTGGCTGGTGCTGCTGTGGATGGTTGTTGGTGTGTGGCTGGTGCTGCTGTGGATGGTTGTTGGTGTGTGGCTGGTGCTGCTGTGGATGGTTGCTGGTGTGGCTGGTGCTGCTGTGGATGGTTGTTGGTGTGTGGCTGATGCTGCTGTGGATGGTTGCTGGTGTGTGGCTGGTGCTGCTGTGGATGGTTGCTGGTGTGGCTGGTGCTGCTGTGGATGGTTGTTGGTGTGTGGCTGGTGCTGCTGTGGATGGTTGGTGGTGTGTGCTGCTGTGGATGGTTGTTGGTGTGTGGCTGGTGCTGCTGTGGATGGTTGTTGGTGTGTGGCTGGTGCTGCTGTGGATGGTTGTTGGTGTGTGGCTGGTGCTGCTGTGGATGGTTGTTGGTGTGTGGCTGATGCTGCTGTGAATGGTTGTTGGTGTGTGGCTGGTGCTGCTGTGGATGGTTGTTGGTGTGTGGCTGGTGCTGCTGTGGATGGTTGTTGGTGTGTGGCTGGTGCTGCTGTGGATGGTTGTTGGTGTGTGGCTGGTGCTGCTGTGGATGGTTGGTGGTGTGTGGTGCTGCTGTGGATGGTTGTTGGTGTGTGGCTGGTGGTGCTGTGGATGGTTGTTGGTGTGTGGGTGGTGCTGCTGTGGATGGTTGTTGGTGTGTGGCTGGTGCTGCTGTGGATGGTTGTTGGTGTGTGGCTGGTGCTGCTGTGAATGGTTGTTGGTGTGTGGCTGGTGCTGCTGTGAATGGTTGTTGGTGTGTGGCTGGCTGCTGTGGATGGTTGTTGGTGTGTGCTGCTGTGGATGGTTGTTGGTGTGTGGCTGGTGCTGCTGTGGATGGTTGCTGGTGTGTGGCTGGTGCTGCTGTGGATGGTTGTTGGTGTGTGGCTGGTGCTGCTGTGGATGGTTGTTGGTGTGTGGCTGGTGCTGCTGTGGATGGTTGTTGGTGTGTGGCTGGTGCTGCTGTGGATGGTTGTTGGTGTGTGGCTGGTGCTGCTGTGGATGGTTGGTGGTGTGTGCTGCTGTGGATGGTTGTTGGTGTGGGGCTGGTGCTGCTGTGGATGGTTGGTGGTGTGTGGCTGGTGCTGCTGTGGATGGTTGTTGGTGTGGGGCTGGTGCTGCTGTGGATGGTTGTTGGTGTGTGGCTGATGCTGATGTGGATGGTTGCTGGTGTGTGGCTGGTGCTGCTGTGGATGGTTGTTGGTGTGTGGCTGGTGCTGCTGTGGATGGTTGTTGGTGTGTGGCTGATGCTGCTGTGGATTTTTGCTGGTGTGTGGATGGTTGCTGATGTGTGGCTGATGCTGCTGTGGATTTTTGCTGGTGTGTGGATGGTTGCTGGTGTGTGGATGGTTGCTGATGTGTGGCTGATGCTGCTGTGGATGGTTGCTGGTGTGGCTGGTGCTGCTGTGGATGGTTGCTGGTGTGTGGCTGGTGCTGCTGTGGATGGTTGTTGGTGTGTGGCTGGTGCTGCTGTGGATGGTTGTTGGTGTGTGGCTGGTGCTGCTGTGGATGGTTGTTGGTGTGTGGCTGGTGCTGCTGTGGATGGTTGTTGGTGTGTGGCTGGTGCTGCTGTGGATGGTTGCTGGTGTGTGGCTGGTGCTGCTGTGGATGGTTGCTGGTGTGGCTGGTGCTGCTGTGGATGGTTGTTGGTGTGTGGCTGATGCTGCTGTGGATGGTTGTTGGTGTGTGGCTGGTGCTGCTGTGGATGGTTGCTGGTGTGTGGCTGGTGCTGCTGTGGATGGTTGCTGGTGTGGCTGGTGCTGCTGTGGATGGTTGTTGGTGTGTGGCTGGTGCTGCTGTGGATGGTTGGTGGTGTGTGCTGCTGTGGATGGTTGTTGGTGTGTGGCTGGTGCTGCTGTGGATGGTTGTTGGTGTGTGGCTGGTGCTGCTGTGGATGGTTGTTGGTGTGTGGCTGGTGCTGCTGTGGATGGTTGTTGGTGTGTGGCTGATGCTGCTGTGAATGGTTGTTGGTGTGTGGCTGGTGCTGCTGTGGATGGTTGTTGGTGTGTGGCTGGTGCTGCTGTGGATGGTTGTTGGTGTGTGGCTGGTGCTGCTGTGGATGGTTGTTGGTGTGTGGCTGGTGCTGCTGTGGAT